GTGGAATTTCTTTCCTTCTTAATGCGTTTGAGCCAATCAGTTGTGTTGTGACAAGGTAGTGGTGGTATACAGAAGATAGCCCTATTTGGTAAAAGAACAAGTCCATATTATGGCAAGAACAGCTCAAATAAGCAAAGAGAAATGACAGTCCATCATTACTTTAAGACATGAAGGTCAGTCATTACGGAAAATGTCAAGAACTTTTAAAGTTTCTTCAAGTACAGTTGCAAAAACCATCAACCTCTATGATGAAACTGGCTCTCATGAGGACCGCCACAGGAATGGAAGACCCAGAGTTACCTCTGCTACAGAGGATAACTTCATTAGAGTTACCAGCCTCAGAAATTGCACCCAAATAAATGCTTCACAGAGTTCAAGTCACAGACACATCTCAACATCAACTGTTCAGAGGGGACTGTGTGAATCAGGCCTTCATGGTCGAATTGCTGCAAAGAAACCACTACTAAAGGACACCAATAAGAAGAAGAGACCTGCTTATGCCAAGAAACACGAGCAATGGACATTAGACCGGTGGACATTTGTCCTTTGGTGTGGAGTCCAAATTGGAGATTTTTGGTTCCAGCCGCAGTGTCTTTGTGAGTTGCGGTGTGGGTGAACAGATGATCTCCGCATGTGTAGTTCCCACCGTAAAGCATGGAGGAGGAGTTGTTTTACTGTCTGTTTTTCTTATTTATTTAAATAGATTTTTATTTGGATTTCATGTAATGGACATACACAAAATAGTCCAAATTGGTAAAGTGAAATGAAAAAAATAACTTGTTTCAAAGAATTCTAAAAAATAAATAACGGAAAAGTGGTGCGTGCATATGTATTCACCCCCTTTGCTATGAAGCCCCTAAATAAGATCTGGTGCAACCAATTACCTTCAGAAGTCATATAATTAGTTAAATAAAGTCCACCTGTGTGCAATCTAAATGTCACATGATCTGTCACATGATCTCAGTATATATACACCTGTTCTGAAAGGCCCCAGAGTCTGCAACACCACTAAGCAAGGGGCACCACCAAGCAAGTGGCACCATGAAGACCAATAAGCTCTCCAAACAGGTCAGGGACAAAGTTGTGGAGAAGTACAGTTCAGGGTTGGGTTATAAAAAAATATCCGAAACTTTGAACATCCCACGGAGCACCATTTAAATCCATAATTAAAAAATGGAAAGAATATAGCACCACAACAAACATGCCAAGAGAGGGCTGCCCACCAAAACTCACGGACCAGGCAAGGAGGGCATTAATCAGAGAGGCAACAAAGAGACCAAAGATAACCCTGAAGGAGCTGCAAAGCTCCAAAGCGGATATTGGAGTATCTGTCCATAGGACGACTTTAAGCCGTACACTCCACAGAGCTGGGCTTTACGGAAGAGTGGCCAGAAAAAAGACATTGCTTAAAGAAAAAAATAAGCAAACACGTTTGGTGTTCGCCAAAAGCCATGTGGGAGACTCCCCAAACATATGGAAGAAGGTACTCTGGTCAGATAAGACTAAAATTGAACTTTTTGGCCATCAAGGAAAACGCTATGTCTGGCACAAACCCAACACCTCTCATCACCCCGAGAACACCATCCCCACAGGGACTGGGAAACTGGTCAGAATTGAAGGAATGATGGATGGCGCTAAATAAAGGGAAATTCTTGAGGGAAACCTGTTTCAGTCTTCCAGAGATTTGAGACTGGGACGGAGATTCACCTTCCAGCAGGACAATGACCCTAAACATACTGCTAAAGCAACACTCGAGTGGTTTAAGGGGAAACATTTAAATGTCTTGGAATGGCCTAGTCAAAGCCCAGACCTCAATCCAATTGAAAATCTGTGGTATGACTTAAAGATTGCTCTACACCAGCGGAACCCATCCAACTTGAAGGAGCTGGAGCAGTTTTGCCATGAAGAATGGGCAAAAATCCCAGTGGCTAGATGTGCCAAGGTTATAGAGACATACCCCAAGAGACTTGTAGGTGGCTCTACAAAGTATTGACTTTGGGGGGGGTGAATAGTTATGCACACTAAGGTTTTCTGTTTTATTGTCTTATTTCTTGTTTGTTTCACAAGAAAAAATATTTTGCATCTTCAAAGTGGTAGGCATGTTGTGTAAATCAAATGATACAAATCCCCCCCAAATCCATTTTAATTCCAGGTTGTAAGGCAACAAAATAGGAAAAATGCCAAGGGGGGTGAATACTTTCGCAAGCCACTGTACACACAAGTAGGTCACATGGGGGAGAGGCGTTGTGCCGTGAAGTGTTGCTTTATTAGTTTTTTGGATCCAGGTTTGCTGTTCACTTGCGCTATATCAGATGGAAGGGAGTTCCATGCTCTCATGGCTCTGTATAATACTGTACGTTTTCTTGAATTTATTCTGGACCTGGGGGCTGTGAAAAGACCCCTGGAGGCATGTCTGGTGGGTTAAGTGTATTTAACAGCGCTGTGTGTAAGTTGACTATGCAAACAATTTGGAATTTCCAACACATTCATGTTTCTTATAAAAACAACTTAGCCAAGAGAGACTGGCATGCATAGTATTAATATTAGCCCTCTGATTACAAAGAGGAGCAAGACATGCAGCTCTGTTCTCAGCCTGCTGCAGCTTAACTAGGTTTTTCTTTGCAGCACTTGACCATATGACTGGACAATAATCAAGATAAGATCAAACTAGAGCCTGCAGGACTTGCTTTGTGGAGTGTGGTGTCAAAAAAGCAGAGCATCTCTTTATTACGGACAGACCTCTCCCCATCTTTACAGCCTTTGAATCTATGTTTTGACCTTGACAGTTTACAATCTAAGGTAACACCATGTAATTTAGTCTCAACTTGTTCAACAGCCACACCATTCATTACCAGATTCAGCTGAGGTCTAGAATTTAGGGAATGATTTGTACCAAATACAATGCTTTTAGTTTTGATGTTCAGGACCAGTTTCAGGACCAGTGTATTACTGGCCACCCATTCCAAAACAGACTAACTCTTTATTAAGGGTTTCATTGACTTCATTACCTGTGGTTGCTGATGTGTATATGGTTGAATCATCAGCATACATGGACTACACATGCTTTGTTTAATGCCAGTGGCAGGTCATTGGTAAAAATAGAAAAGAGTAGAGGGCCTAGACGCAGGTCGATGTGTGGCAATCAGGATGTTTGCTCATGACCGAAGGCACGTGCAAAAGATGGAAGTACATGCACGTGATGCATGCATACTAACAGGTGTTTACATGGTTTTGCGCATGTGCCAGGTGATATCAACTTCAGCTTCAGTACCAGTGCTTTAAAAAGTTGGGTAAACAATACTTTTCTGTGGATATTTTGTTTCAAATTTCGAGCAGCTGAAGGACCAACCGCACAGATAACCGGTAGAGTAAGTTCAAATGTAATTTTTTTTCAACATTCTGGCTTGTAAGGAAACTGTCGACAATTTTGCAGTGCTTTGTTTCAGACTGTATACCAAGAATTTGTATAAAAGTCTGATTTATTAGGCAAGTGTTACTCAAAACACAGCCAGGTGCATCGGGCAGCGTCAGGGCATTTCCCTCACAAGGCTAAAGGGGGCGTCCAATGACCAAATGTAATGCAATGGAATTGGAGTCATGGTCGAAAGTCTACTGTTTAGGATTTTCATTCTATTGAAAACATTGATCGGCAATTCAATGTTGTATTTGTTAACACACATTCATCTTTTCATTTCCAGTGCGGTGAAAAGCATGACAAACAGCAGCCTGTACTTCAAAAGCATCGATGGCCTCCTTCGTCAAGCCATCAGCATGAAGGAACAGATCAGCACCTCCCAGGGGCGCAGGTAAGAGGCAGTAAAGAACCAATTCCACTCACTTTGGCTCTGGGAAACCATAATAACACTGTGTGTCCTTGACACTGTAACAACACTGTGTATCCTTCATTTGTCTGATTGCAAACAAACCTACTCATCACTGCTGAGGAGAAAAAAAACAAAATGTCCCTGCTCAAGGGTGGAGTTGATGAGGCTTATAAACTCCTTTTGAGTGAAAGCCAAGATCACTTTTTCATAGACATGGGCCACCATTTCTTGTTTGTAGTTATTTTTCTTTGCAATCATCATCATCCTCCTTTCATCGCCATTTCTTTGCATTATTTTATTTGCCATTTTTGTCTCTGTTCTGTTTTCTTCATTATTTCCCACCATTGGCACATGCATGCAGCGCACATGAAGCGACCCCCTCTCCCATTCCCCCTGCCACTCCACCACATCCCCCATCCACTTCCTCCTGACCTCTGGAAGACACTGTCCAAGGTTAGTCGTTCCTCAGGCATCACACTCAAAGCTATACTTGGCTTTAACTAGACCTCAAGGACTTCTAGGCACTCACTTGAAAATCAAGAAAGTGCACTAGAATGAACCTGAATGTGCTAATACTGGTTTACTTAAACTGCTCCACCTTATTTTTACCACAGGGTGTTTGTAACAACATACTCATGTCTTTATTCAAAGTTATCAAATATGTTTGTTTTACAGTATGCAGACTAGACACTACCACATTTCTCTACACAATGTGTAATATACAGTTTTGGCAATATATTTCAAAGACCACGCTTGGTCTTTACCAAACACTTTTGAAAATGTAAAGCAATTCTCTGCCACTCTTTAAATTGTATAATCACGTAGCAACTATAGCATTAGCTGTAGCTATAAGTTACTAACATTTTCCATTGGAATACCAGTAAGTAAACGTTCTAGAGAGGGTTTAATAGTGATGGAATAGAACATGGTTTCTGTGTAAAAAGTCAATACAAAGGCAATAAAGGAACGAGATGTTAGGAAAGGTGTATTAAAATGACAGTTTCACTGTATGTCTGTATTGAAATGTACAGTAATAGTATTAGTGGTGCTTTGATCATGAAGGGATAGCTCAGAGCTTTAAAATAGCTTCAGCTATTTTCTATCCGTACTGTATACTTCGGAACGTTAGATGGTTGGGTAGGAATGTACTAACTGCTAAGACTTGTGCAGGTCAGGTCACACCAGAGTAGAGTCTTTACTGGAGGCTCCTGACTTGCGGGCCAGCACGCTCCGCATCTCATTGTTAATGCCATTCCACGGCTTAGATGGAGACTGCAGCAGCCCAGACTCTGTCGACAGGGTTCTGTGCATTCTAGAACCACTCCCACCACTACTGTAGCCCTCCTTGTCACTGCCGTGGCTCTGAGGGCTGTGGGATGGGGAGTACTGATGCTGGTGATGCTGCTTAGGGTCAGTGCAGGGAGGAGGGTAGGACAAATGCCGGTGGAGTTGGGAGTTGTTGTGGTGCCTCCTGGGTTTATCCCCATCTTGGAGCTCGCGTTGGCGGGCGGCAGTGGTGCTCCCACTGTGCTGGTTCTGGTACAGGGTGTCGGTGTGTTCCCCACCGCGGTAGTGTTGGGCGGTACGGGCGGCTTTGACCAGGGAGTGAATCACGATCACTAGCAGAATCAGGATTCCTGAGGCCAGGACGCATGCGCTGGCGATGCCTGTCTCTACCTCAAACACCAGCAGCATGTAGATGGACATAGCTGCAGCAGAGAGAGAGGGACAGAGAGTGACAGACAAACAGAAGAAGAGAGGGAGATGGACACAGTGACAGGTACAGAAAGATTAGTCTATACACTGTAAGAAAGATCACTTTTCAGATCCCTTTTTCTCCCTGGGGTGAATAACTCTAATGTAGTGCATTGCCATGGTTGTGTTTTTGTGTCTTTTACTATATTGGACATCTCTCAGCAGGAGAAGAACCACAGACCCAAGAGTGCTGAAGGAGGGAGGAGAGAAACACAGCTCTGGGATATGATGATGACATTGTGGCATTGCAGTGAGGCTCTGGCTCAGTTCCCTCTGAAAGGGAGCTGTAGGGTCAGGAGGTCATTCACCCTACCATCACAATGGTGCACTGCCCCCACAGCCCCAACCGCCAACAAGGGACTCAATGGAATGGAAAGCCAGCAGCTTTGCTTTGCCAGGACCTGCATTAAGACATTTCAGTAATGCACGTCAGTCAAAGACGCCATTGTTCTGGGCCTTGTGTATCAATCAATTGGAGGGACTCTGAAAGTAGTGACTTTTGCCTCTGCTGCAAATTAACTGGAATATATCTGTAGGAATCTAAATGAAGTTGTCCTTTCTAGGGTCACACAACTATTTGGTACAAGCTGTTAATTGTTTAGCAGTTGGTCTAAACTTATATAATGTCTGATAAATGTATCTGCTTTAGCTAAATTAAGTGCTTGCACGTGAGGTTAATTTGTATTTATTATGGATCCCCATTAGCTGTTGCAAAGGCAACAGCTACTCTTCCTGGGGTCCAGCAAAAATCAATGCAGTAATATACATTATAATATAATTTTTAAACATTAAAATAAATCTTACAACACATTTCACAATATATTAATTGTGTGCCCTCTGTCCACTACTCTACTACAACACACAATCCAGGTGTACCTGTGTGTGTGACCCTTCACAGTCCTCACTGTTCCATAAGGTGTATTTTTGTCAATTTTTTAAAATCTGATTTTTCTGCTTGTTTGAGTTACTTGATGTGGAATAGAGTTATGTGGGGTGACTACTGTGTTCATAACGCTACCAAATACAGCTCTGGAAAAAATTAAGAGACCACTGCAAAAATATGCGTTTCTCTGGTTTTACTATTTATAGGTATGTGTTTGGGTGAAATTAACATGTTTGTTTTATTCTATAAACTACTGACAACATTTCTCCCAATTTCCCCAAAAAAATATTGTCATTTAGAGCATTTATTTGCAGAAAATGACAACTGGTCAAAATAACAAAAAATATGCAGTGTTGTCAGACCTCGAATAATGCAAAGAAAATAAGTTCATGTTCATTTTTAAACAACACAATACTAATGTTTAAACTAAGGAAGAGTTCAGAAATCAATATTTGGTGGAATAACCCTGATTTTCAATCACAGCTTTCATGCATCTTGGCATGCTCTCCACCAGTCTTTCACATTGATGTTGGGTGACTTTATGCCACTCCTGGCACAAAAATTCAAGCAGCTCGGCTTTGTTTGATGGCTTGTGACCATCCATCTTCCTCTTGATCACATTCCAGAAGTTTTCAATGGGGTTCAGGTCTGGAGATTGGGCTGGCCATGACAGTGTCTTGATCTGGTAGTCCTCCATCCACACCTTGATTGACCTGGCTGTGTGGCATGGCGCATTGTCCTGCTGGAAAAACCAATTCTTAGAGTTAGGGAACAATGTCAGAGCAAAAGGAAGCAAGTTTTCTTCCAGGACAATCTGCCCGATTCCAGCATTGCTGAAGCACCCCCAGATCATCACCGATCCTCCACCAAATTTCACAGTGGGTGCGAGACTGGTAGCTCAGTTGGTAGAGCATGGCGCTTGCAATGCCAGGGTTGTGGGTTCGATTCCCACGGGGGGCAGTATGAAAAAAAATGTATGCACTCACTAACTGTAAGTCGCTCTGGATAAGAGCGTCTGCTAAATGACTAAAATGTAAAATCGAGACACTGTGGCTTGTAGGCCTCTCCAGGTCTCCGTCTAACCATTAGACGACCAGGTGTTGGGCAAAGCTGAAAATTGGACTCATCAGAGAAGATGACCTTACTCCAGTCCTCTACGGCCCAATCCTAATGGTCTTTTGCAAACCTCAGCCTGGCTCTTCTTTGCTTCTCATTGATGAAGGGCTTTTTTCTAGCTTTGCACGACTTCAGCCCTGCCCCTAGGAGCCTGTTTCGAACCGTCCTCGCCGTGCACTTCACCCCAGCTGCCATTTGCCATTCTTTTTGTAGGTCACTTGATGTCATCCTAAGGTTGTTGAGTGACATTCGAATGAGTTGGCGGTCATCCCGGTCAGTAGAGAGTAGTTTTCGCCCTCTGCCGGTCTGTAGCTTTGTTGTCCCCAATGTCTGCTGCTTGACCTTGTTCTTATGAACCGCTGTCTTTAAAATGTTAAGGATGGAAGCAACCTGACGCTCACAGTATCCCTCTGCCAGCAAAGCCAGAATTGAACCCTTCTTTTCCTCACTCAACATTCCTTTTCAACTCTTTTGGCATGGTCAATAGTTATTTTTTGATTAAGATTACTTTTGAGGTACTATTAGCACTGTTTTTGCCATCCAGCTGGTGCTATTGCAAGAGGATAGTGATGACCACAGCAGTGGATTTTATACTTTTCCTCGTTAAATAAGATTTGGTTCATGTGATCACCTAATCAGTACCTAATTCAGTAGAATGAGGTGTGCCTGTGTTGGAATTCAACAGACACTGAAATGGAAGTCATACATGTAGAGATGCTGATTTAAGAAAAATTTGCAGTTGTCTCTTAATTTTTTCCAGAGCTGTATGTAGCAGTTTGTTACTTTTGATATTGCCAAGGAGCTTGGGGTGACACGTTAAGACCAGCTGCATGCAGATTCCTTTAGTCTACAATATGTTCTGGTCATTAAATAGGCCTTACTGTTATTTGTTGTAGGTCTTACCTGCTAAGTATACTGAAACCCCAAGGCAAAATAGTCCGATGGCCACATGTCGGACAGCTCGGCTATCCAATAGGAACCAGTCTGCTCTATGGGAGGAAATGAAGAAAACGCAATCAGTGACATGATCATACTGTTTTTGGAAAGTGCTAAATTACGTATTATGTATTTAGACCAAAATAAATACATTCAAGGTTGCAATTAGGCCTTGTGTCCATAATTTGTTTTATCATGTGGGATACTTTTCTGCTCAAAATTGATGGTTTTAAACAGAATGCTTTGTCATTACTTGCACTGGAGGGCACAGAAGCTAAATAAAAGTCCTGAAACGCACAGGCACGTTTCTACGCCAACGTAGGGGGCCGTGCACTGGGTGCATAATGAGGGAATGCTTTTGTTTGTCCAGGATTCATACTGAGTTTAGAGTTAAGGCTCGGTCAAGCAGCCTCTGCACACACTGAAAGTTATGAATTTATAAGAATGTAGTATTCTTATTTTAATTTATATCAATATCAAACTTCAATATAGGCTAATTGAAGCACATTTATTCAACGAAATAAACTACAGGTGCATCAGTGATAAATGTTAGCCTACAACAAATAACATCCTAAGTATAGGTATGTTGATGGATGTACCTTTCCGTATCATCTTCTCCTCTGCATATCTCGGTTGTAAAGTAGCCGTGCATAAGGCAGACCACTACAGAGCTCAAATTGAGCGTGAGAGACATAGCAGAAAGCACTGTAGACACTGGCATCAGCACTGCCCAAACATTAGTTGGCACGATGGAGATGGTGGGGGGAGATTCCTTCACAGCAATCTGCTGTGTTTGTAGATGGAAAATCAGATTGACCGATAGCTGAGACATAATCCCAGATAGGATCCCTAATAAAGCAAGGACCATCAAAGACCGCTGGCTGTAAACCGTCATATTTGGATAATAAATCACGGACTGACGTCGACGCACTTGTCTTCCTTGGAAAAAGTTATCCCGGTGGGAATCCACTTTATCCTCAGGATCCTTCTTGCGATCCTATTTTCCAAAGGCTTCAATCTAACATAAAATATAGTTTTAAGTGTAGAAAAATGTTTTGAATAGGAAAAGGTAAGAAACCTGTGATTGAGAGTCCGGTCATGGAATTTCAGCTTTATTTGCGTGTTGTGCGCGAGCACCCACTCCCCCAGCCGAGCATGTGATGTTCTTTAAATCCCCAGATTAAAAACTTCGCAACAACAATGGACTTTTCACTTGGATTCTCCTAAACAATGCGTTGACGTGCTCGTCCGAAGCAGTCCACAGCCGGGGGAAAAACTGTTTACAAATTTATACAAGTTAGAAAACTATTCACTTTCCTTTCCAAAACATGAATTACCCCAGCTTGAATGCATTTTGAGAATGTTAAAACAATTGCAGTGGTGCGCATTGAATTTAAACCTCAAATACATTTTAAATATGAAGAAACCATGCTCCAGAAAATATCATATTTTTTACAATTATGACTTGGTTTTTATTTATGTTGAGTTGCCTAGGCCCCAGTTATATTTTTGGTGCAGATCATGCTATTAAAATGAATAAGGAGCCATCAAGATACATTCTTTAGTTCTCAATAGCTCTTTAATTAGGCATTGTCTATTTATTTAATCAATAGTAGCCTCCTGAAAATAATCCTACTAAATGTGTCTACATTAGTTATTGTTTCGCGCGGCATGCAAGAGCTTCTTAAATTGCCAAAAGATGACGCAATGCCATCAGCTCGCGAGTGTGCAATACGCCAAGAGTTCCTGGGAATATGAAATGGAGTGTCCTGCCCTCTCATTCCTTTTCCCCGAAATCTCCCTCTTTGTATCCAATTAACTTTTCAGTGGTTGCCTTGGAAACAAACACTGCTTACCCAGAGAGCGCACTGTTGTTGCTCTGTTGATTTGAGGCTATTGCAGTGTGCACTCACTCACCCACCTTTCCTTTTTGGCATCTTTAGGAAACGTAATCCATTTCACCTTTGAAACCATTATTGTACACTGAACAAAAATATAAATGCAACATGTAAAGTGTTGGTCCCATGTTTCATGAGCTGAAATAAAAGATCCTAGAAATGTTCCATACTGCACAAAAAGCTTATTTCTCTCAAATGTTGTGCACACATTTTTTACATCCCTGTTAGTGAGCATTACTCCTTTGCCAAGATAATTCATCCACCTGACAGGTGTAGCATATCAAGAAGCTGATTAAACAGCATGATCATTACACAGGTGCACCTTTTGCAGTTTTGTCACACAACACAATACCACAGATGTCTTAAGTTTTGAGGGAGCGTGCAATTGGCATGCTGACTGCAGGAATGTCCACCAGAGCTGTTGCCAGAGAATGTAATGTTAATTTCTCTACCAATGTCGTTTAAGAGAATTTGTACGTCCAACCGGCCTCACAACCGCAGACCACATGTAACCACACCAGCCCAGGACCTCCACATCCGGCTTTTTCATCTGCAGGATCATCTGATCCAGCCACCCGGACAGCTGATGAAACTGTGGGTTTTCACAATCAAATAATTTCTGCACAAACTGTCAGATACCATCTCAGGGAAGCTCATCTGCTTGCTCGTCGTCCTCACCAGGGTCCTGACCTGACTGCAGTTCGGCGTCTTAACTGACTTCAGTGGGCAAATGCTCACCTTCGATGGCCACTGGCACCCTGCAGAAGTGTGCTCTTCAAGGATTAATCCCGGTTTCAACTGTACCGGGAAGATGGCAGACAGTGTGTATGGAATCATGTTAGCGAGCGGTTTACTGATGTCAATATTGTGAACAGTGTGCCCCATGGTAGCAGTGGGGTTATGGTATGGGCAGGCATAAGCTACAGACAACGAACACAATTGCATTTTATAGATGGCAATTTGAATGCACAGAGATACCGTGACCAGATCCTGAGGCCCATTGTCATGCCATTCATCCGCCGCCATCGCCTCACAAACACAAAATGTATTTAACAATTTTTTTACATATCTCTTGATTTGCCTGACAGACACTGACCATCTATCAATTTGCTGTGAATTCAGACTGAAAGAGGAGATAGTTACAGATTTCTGTAACTGTAGTGGTCTGTTGAGTTGCATCTAGGAATTTGTGGTGCGTTATCTAGCATGAATGTAATGTTTGGTCCTTGAGGGGAACAAGATTTACATTTTTATTTATCATTATCAATATTGTCTGTTAGCATTGCTGGGTTACAGTTTTGGTCAATTCAATAAATAGTTGTATGCAAATACAAAGAATGATAACATTTCAATCAATAGCATAACAGAGAGGACTTATGTTGAATGTTTTACTCTATAAATAGCTTTTTATAAGGTTGCTTCCCTTAAGAACTTGAAATAGAGTGTGTGTGTATAATCTTCTGATGCTGCAGGGGAATTTATGTCACCATGTACTCCTGCCGCTTGTTGAGTCTGACCTGGCAGAGTGACACCGCCCCCACTGCAACATAGATGGCTGCTGCAATGAAGCAGTTGATGCCCACCTGGTTGTAGAGTCCATAGATGGTTACCGGTGGGTTCTTATCATTGCGGATGTCCTCCTCAGTGAAGGGCACATCCTCAATCAGCACAGCAGACTTTGCACTGAAGAAGATCCCCAACATCACCAACATGATGACTCCCCATATGCTGATCACTATTCCACAAGCGGCCATTTTCGGACCGCAGAATAAAAGAGATGGTATTCTTCTAGTTGATCTTTCCTACCAAAATATAGAATTTTGATACACTAATCTAAAACAGTCGTTTTCTTTTCTCAAAGGACGAGCGTCACCCTAACCTCCATCAGCCGACACTCGATTCATTCGGTGGAACATTAATTTGATGTCATGCAAACAAAACTTGGTTGTTGTATTTTATCCATTTTGAAGTTTATAGCACGTTAAAATCCTACAACAACAAAAGTTCCAGGAAAACCAAAGCTTATTCAGGTATACTTTCATATATGCATATGTACTGATGCAGGTCTCTCTAGTAATAAGGGATAAGGGAAATGTTATCTGCATGTAACTGTCTTGAAGACAGCAGGACACATGTAGTGCAGCTAAAGCTGTTCTGATGGAGATAAGCTTGCAGCTATAAAAGTACACACAATGAAGAATTGCTCTCACACATGCACACTGACCATGGAGTCTATTTCTGAATTCGACAGCCTCACCACACATACTAAAATGGCAGCCGCTGATGTTGTCGAAAGCAGAAGTGAGCAGTTTCAGGAAAACAAAAAATAAGTCTAAATGTGAACTCTTTCCAAAGGCTCCTTCATTTGACTTAAAATGCACTCTCTTCATGTGATTCATAATGCTTTTGGGGAAACATAATTTGGTCACAACACTGCAGCCTGGCCTCAGAGCCATACGAAATATACTTTACCTATTTCTGAAAACCTCCAAGATGAATGATACCTACTAATGGTCTATTTATAGGGAGGTTGGTCAGGGAGGATGGGTGGGTGTAATCCGCAACAGTCTAGCAATCCAAAGGTTGCATGTTTGAGTGGCGTCGGGAACAACTGTAGCATTTTAGCTAACCCTTCCCCTAACCCTTATTCTAAACTTAACCCAATTCCCCTGACCTGCTACGTAAATTAATCTAACCATTGTTGTTTTAGTTCTCCTAACCTTTGTAGTTAGTTTTCCTAACCGCCAATGTAAATTCTCCCCCTAATTCTCTTTTATTGTTACAGCGCAAGAAGCAACCTGGTCTCAGATAAAGACGTGCAACACTATACGTCATCCAATTCGTATGCTTTTGCACAACCGGGTATGACGTATCATACTATACATCCATTAATTCATATGATAATGTCGACCACTATTCAATTTATAATGTAAGTGAACGTAACGTAATATATCTTACTAAATGTAGTGTCACCGATTTACATACAGAATAATACGAATTGCCCTGAGACCACATTGCACTGATATGTAAACATTGATACAGAATCGAAATCACTAACAGATCTCCTCTGCCCTGTCTTTGAACCTAAACCTCCATAATGAAGAACTTTTAGACAAAAGGTCAACACAGCTTCTATGATTCTTAGCAGGTGGTTTTACTCTTTTATTTAAAGGTTGTGTGTTTTGTCCACTAATTGGGTGAATCCAGCTGCACACAGGGATGTAGCCTATAGCCGGGGTGGAAGCGGCCTTCTGGGATGTTGCTAACTCTTGCATCATGAAAGGCCTCCTTAGAGATCATTGTGGCTGTGTGTGTGTGTGTGTGTGTGTGCGCGCGTCTGCACATTGGTGTGCGTGTGTCTGTGTGTGAGTGACGTGTGTGTGTAAGAAGTGTCTCTGTGATTGTTCAATGTTAATAACACTTGTCCTTAAATACTTTTTAGGAGTGTCCAAAGCAATGTGCCACCTCCCAAAATAGTCAAGAATAGTGTAGCTCACATAAATGATTGAGAAATTACCTCTAAATATACAGTATCTATTAAGATAGTATGTGGACTAACCTTTGACATCTTTGAAGTGACAAATGCATGCTATATATAATAAACCATGACAGTACTATGTTTGGCCTAAGGGATGTGGCTAGATTATTGAAGAGTAAAAAGCCTTGATTAGCTGTGTGAGATCAGTAAAACGGTGAAAAGATTATTGTAGCTCTAACAAAAGCAAGCGCAACCAATAGAAGTAATACTAGCTGGAAAAGTATGCAGTGAGATTCAATGCAGATTGTGAGACAGTGAGACATTAAGGACAGAGGTATTGGATATTGGATGCTCTTATTGCCAGTCTATACACTCACCCATTGAACTTGACCTAAATAGAAACAGCAGGAGGCAAAGGGTGAATCAAAGTTACCTAACAATAGAACACTTTTAGAAAATCCCCTGCATTATCACATAATTTTAAGTACAGTAGTGTACCTCTCTTTGGAGCGTTTATTAAAAAATAAAATAATAATCTACCACTATCCCCTTCTATTCTTAGGCTGTATTATTGACATCATTCATCTTGAATTACCTTTTTACTGACACATAGCCAATGTAAGTGAGTTAGCAAGCAAGTCAGCAAATAGGGAGCTCCTAGAATGTGCCGTGAGCCAAAATGAAAGGATTATTTCACTTTTCTTCATGTA